CATCATGAAGCATTCTTATGGACCATCCTACTTTCTTTTCCCATTTTTATGTTTATAACAAAAGAGAAGAAATGAAGAAATCTCATTTCAATGTTGTGCAGGCTTACTTCCTTTTCGGCGTGGTTTTTCGGGAGGTTTAGTCGGTAATGTCCACATGTCGGGCTAATTGTTCACACGGATATGGATGATAAAGAAGGATGAATTGGTAGGGATCACTTATTGCTTCGGTTGGTATGGGGCGAATTTTTGTCGGTCTGAAGCTTCATACTTTGGCACATTTTGTCAGTTTGTGATACTAAGGAGGGGTTCTACAAAATTTGATATCCTTACCCTCTAGAAAACCTTAACCTACCCCTTAATTCAAAACATCCAGTACAGGATTTTCTCGATCTCTTGCGATCCATAAAACCAGCTGCTTCTGTCACTTGTTCAAAGAAAATGCGCTTTGTAGCCACATCGTCCGAGAACTCTCTTACTTGTTTTTGTTGTCCTCGTTTTTCATTTCTATGGAAATTTTTTTCTTATTCTTTTCCTCCACAAATCTTCTTTTGAGATGTTTTTTATGCTTTTGAGGAAACAAAACAATCTTTGTGCTACCTGAAACGCAACGTAGCTTGTTTTTGTCATGTTTATTCGTCATTTGAGGTAAATAATCGTCCCTTCCATGAATGATGTGACAAAATGTCTTAATTCTTTACAAAAACTTTCCTATTATTCTTTATTTTGCACATTCAATAAAGCTTTTCAGTTATGAGTTTTATGCTATTCATGAAATAATGAGCTTATAGGACTGTAAATAGAATCATGCATCACAGATTGGACGTCAGTAAATAACGATATTGATTACAGCATCTATAGATATTTCTAGTGTTAACTTTGATGATTGAATTTGGGATATTTTGTTTTCATTTATGATTGAAATTGGATTATGGACAGAGTAATTATGATTTTGAATATTTCATGTGAATTACAGGCAGGATTAAGTATTTATTGGTCTTTGAGTGGAGTTTAGGCTATGCCGTTGTATGAGACAGTCTCTTAATTTGTTTCTTCTGCACACTCAACTATCTTCATTCTAAGAAGGCCAAAAAACCACAATCACTCTACATTATTGCTTCAAACTACACGTGTACACTTTTAATGTCCCAAAGCCTTCACTTCTTGATGTCATTTCTTCTTCTTGCATTCCATTTCCTTGATTTCTTTTATTTGAATCTCCTCGTGTCCATTTTTATTTCTCACTTCTAACATTTACGAAGTAAACTGAAATAAAATGAAGTGCAGAATTGTTTGTTGACGATGACTCAAGGGGGGACACAACGTGATGGAAAAAGTTTTTTGTTTGAAAAATTTTGATAAATTTGCAGTCGAAGTTTTGAACAAAAAAATTGATGAAAATTCCTAATCAAAATATTTCCTCATCATGTTGTTCCCCCCTTAAAATGACTATTGCTGTTGTACAGTGTACATGCCAACTTTAGCTTTTATTCTTATTCCATTTTATTATTTTTATTTACTTTTCTTCTTCGTCGATTCTTTCATTTTTATGAGATTGCTGCTCGCATGTCCTCATGTCTACTCACACCACTTCCTTCTTCATTTTCCATTTGTGTGTCCATAAAACTTTGATTTTACGATATGTAATCATCGTCAAGCAGGACACACTCTGTTGTGTATTTTGTGACAATTGAAAATTTTCTGTTGCTGATAATTAAACATATTTTGTGGCCTGCTTGCCATTAAGTTTTTGGGAATGAAAAGTTACTCATCGGCAGCATTGGCAAATATTTTATTTTATTACTTATCTCAAGCGCCAATGATTCAGTCATCCGACGACGATTCATTAATATTTAATTTTTCTGATAAAAAGCATGGCACCACAATCGAGTTTTGGTTGAGTGGAAGTGTAAGGACCAAATAGAATAAAACATTTCTTTTTTGTTGTGCTTCTCGTTCTGCTTTCTGTTTCTGGAACATCGCAAATGGAACGACTTTTTTTTTCATTCTCTTAATTAAAAAGCAATTATGTGATTATTTAATAATGATATCGAACGGTTTTGCTACAGAACGATATTGACATGGATGGGTGGTATTAAATGGTTTTTTAAATGTTGGAAGTGAGAAGCATCATTAAGATAATTTTTTTTTCTGCTCTCATTCTGATCTTAATTTGTTTTTATTTTTTTTTTCTTGGGTATGGATACATCTGATGATGAACTAGATTGTTCTTGGACTTTTCTTTTGTCTGTTTTATTTAATGATGATTTTATTCAAGGTTGTATAAGCATCTTTGTAGCTTTATCATTACATTTTAGGTATGGGTATTATCACTGCCAAGTGTTTTACTGTTATTCAATAATAGTCAAGTATTTTTGAAACTGAATAGGTCAGAGAAGGGGAAGGTTAAGTTAATGAGTGCTTAAATGTCACATTTTTGAAGATTCAAGGGTTCGATTCCTATCAAATCTAGCTGATTTTCATAATGCGTCGACAATGGGATCATTCAAAATTGATGTACCAATAATTAGGAGTTTCAGGACTCTCTTAGTGCCATATAGCTTTACACCTTCTCTCGCATGGTTGTTTGTAACTAGTCAATGTCCGCCTATCATCGAAAAACTTTCTTTGTCTCCAAAGTTTACGAAAATTCAACATAAAATCAATTTTCAAACTCCATCTTCACGCCACGTGTACCCAAAAGCATCTCAAGTTCTTTTTTATATCAAAACAAAAATGTTAATTAAAGTGAACATCGAAAAGGAAGTGCCTGGATAACAACATTTTGTAGAATTATTACTTAAGGTATATCAAATCGTCATTATTCATCTTTGTATAGGAAACCATGGGACACAGATGTTCAAATGTCTAGCAAGAAAAAGGCTGTTTTTCATTTATCATGGGCTAGTCTAAGAAGCCTTGAGTTGACCTTTATCAATATATAATTTCACAGAGAAAAATAACAAGTCTCTTGAGAGTAAATTGATTCCAAGTATTGCACGAGTAAGACGAAGCTAAATGCCATCAGATTTATAAACAACGATGACCAACTCATGGTAGCTAAAATGAAAAAAAAAATCAAGGTCAGCGAAGTTTAACGATGGCATTGCAATAATTCAGAATCTGATATATAAAAAACTTTGAAACATAAATTTTTTTATATCTTGATATAAAAGTAAAACTTTCTTGTTCCTTTAGTATCAATAAAAACTCACATGTGCTCATAAATGAACACACATTTAGCAAGATAAATGAAGCAAGAAATTATTTAATTTGTTATCATCAAGAATCAATTAAAGTTGAAGCAGATGCACGATAAAGCATTTAAATTATTCGAGAGAATATTTAATGTGAAAATTCTTCTCATCACGTTCCAGTGAGGCTATAATGTGTTGAGATAGGGGTTCTGTGGATTGAAAATGATTGGGAACACTTAATTTTGAATGTTTAAATGTGAAAATTTAATTTTGAAGGTTATTTAATTTTGAAAGTGAAGCATTCGATTTACAAAGTTAAAGAATTTTCAATTACAAAAGTAAAACTTTTAATTTCAAAAGTAACATTTTTAATTTCGAAAGTGAAATTTTTAATTTCGAAAGTGAAATTTTCAATTTCGAACGTGAAATTTTTAACTTCGAAAGTGAAATTTTTAATTTTGAAAGTGAAATTTTCAATTTCGAAAGTGAAATTTTTAACTTCGAAAGTGAAATTTTTAAATCGAAAGTGAAATTTTTAATTTCGAAAGTAAAAGTTTCAATTTCGAAAGTAAAATTTTTAATTTCCAGAGCAAAAACTTGGTTTCAAAAGTCAAATTTTAATTTCGAATGTGAAATTTCAATTTCGAAAGTCAAATTTTAACTTTGAAGATTAAATTTCAACTTCGAAAGTTGAATAACAGATTTGTTTTCTCAAACTTTTTATATAAGCCTGTCTAAAACAAAATTAATCGAATTGATATCAAATTTCTCGAGCTTTTTACAAAATAGGAAATCGGAGCAGTACTTTAACCTCATTCTGAAATATATAATATAAATGAAGGAGTTTAAGATTGATGTTGGGTAAGCAGGCGGAGGTGGAGAAAAAAGGATATAATTTCTCATGGTTCATTCAACATTATCATCATTATTGGAAAATTTCTATAATCGAACACATTTGGTCTAGTAGATTTTCACTATATGTCTATGTATAAAGCACTTACTGGATCAAATGGATGTGTAGAGGAATAGGAAAGTGAAATTGTTTATCAAGATTAAAGAAAAAATAAATACATTATAGGTCGATATATCTATCCGGGGAGAAATTCAATATATTGAAGAATTAAAATGTTACAAACAATGAGGCACACACATGATATAGATAGACTTAAGAAGGGGACGAGAAGTGATGAAATTGTTTATTTTTAATCAATATAGATACTGGACAAACATGATCTCAAAATAACATAACATATAAATCCATCTAACGAATGATACTGTGGCGATACTTATATCGAGTTATATGGAACTCAAGTGAGATGTTGAGGAGACCCTTAAAGCTCCAAAAATGCCTCCCTTTTTCCACATTCAATATATATGTTTCATGCTGATATCGATCTTGTGATGCTTTATTATTATCGTTGTTGTCGCATATCTCTCAGCCTTTTGTATTATATGGAGATAAATGGCAAATTGGGATATATCTACTCAGGCCATTCAATCTTCTATACTATATTCGTATCGGCGGATCAATAAACGTATGGAGGTATATGACTTTTGATATAAAGTTTTTGAGTTGTGAGGTTATGTTCTGTTTACTGGGCTTTAGTAGGTTTTTTGTATAGATTATAGTATGTTATTAGGAGTAGGACCTACAGAACCATAACTAGCTATGCTAAAATTTTACAGCAAAATGCGTCATCATCTCCGAATTCTCTCACAAACTTTAATCCTCTAAAATAAACTATTATTCTCAATTTTCAACCAACAAAACAATATATTCTCATTTTTAACAATCTTTATTTATAGCTGGATCGCGAAGCGATAGTGGAAATGCAAGTCCCGCAAAATATCCTGTGATGGTGTTCGTGCATGGTGAATCGTACGAATGGAATAGTGGAAATCCATATGATGGAAGTGTATTAGCTAGTTACGGACATATTCTAGTCGTTACAATAAATTATCGATTAGGGGTGCTTGGTAAGTGAACTGTGATTCTCTTCATTGACTATTTGCTAAATCTTCCATTTCTGACAGGTTTTCTAAACACAAATGTTGATCGATTTTCAAAGTCACCTGCCAATTACGGCCTGATGGATATTCTCGCGGCACTACATTGGATTCAAGAGAATATCGAAGCATTTGGCGGTGACAGTAAGAGTGTCACATTAGCAGGTCACGGAACTGGTGCTGCATGTGTTCATTTCCTCATTGCCTCACAGGCTGTGCCTGATGGACTTTTATTTCATCGTGCAATATTAATGTCCGGTACAGGACTTGCACCATGGTCACTTGTTGGTGATCCAGCCTATTATGCTGCAATCGTTGCACATCATGTTAATTGTTCTGTTGATTTACCTCATCAAGCTTTAATGAAATGTCTTCGTGACGTTCCTATGAACTCGCTTCTGTCGACGCCCATTCGATTGCCAGAATTTGGCAATGCCTTTGGACCAAGTGTCGATGGTGTTGTTATTGGTAAGTTTAAATTGATTTATTAAATTTATTTGCTTTTGGCATAAACACTAGCTTCGTCCCCAAAAAAATATAAGCTCATCCGTACGTAGAATGACAATAAAAATCAGAGCGTATCCAATAATCTTCTCACGTTTTGCTTTTACAACTTTACTCATACATCCCATGAATTTAATAACGTTATTCTCATGTTCTTATCCATAGATACTGGCGACTATAATCAGCCGGATCCATATGATTTTGGTACGAGTAGTGGCAGTGAAGCAAAACGACAAATGCACTATCAAAATAATCTTAATATAATAAATTCAGTATTATTAAGGAAATTAGCTATAAACAAATTATCAAGGTAAGCATGTCTAATCTGCTACTTTTGAGATCTTAACAGCAGTAATGATTCCAATTTGATGGTTTCCCTTCTTATCCTTGAATTATTTTTTTTATCAACGTAGGTACGATTTATTGGTAGGCGTAACTCGTGCAGAATCATATTTTATATTTAATGCCGGAGATGTACAGTATGGAATTGAGTCAGATCGAAAGACAAAAATTTTAAGAACTTATGTGCGTAGCACTTATAGTTATCATTTAAATGAAATTCTCGCGACAATTGAGAATGAATATAAAGACTGGGAAAAGCCTGTACAGCATCCAATTAATATTAGGTAAGATTTATTGTGTCTGAATTATTTAGTTTGATTTGGGGCTGATTATGTGCCTTGATTGACATTATTTTGCCAATCAATCAATCTGACAATTTTCTATTAAATTATTCAATATTTTATTTTATTATATTTTAATTATTTAGAGACGAGACCTTAGAGGCATTAAGCGATGCTCAAGTTGTAGCTCCCGCAACTTTAACTGTTGACTTACATTCAGCCGATCATCGAAATTCATTCCTTTATGTGTTCGATTATCAGACAAAGTTTGGTGACTATCCTCCGGTAAGAAGAATTGATTTTGTAGGTTATTATATTGAAATCTATTCGTACAAAAATGTCAGGAATATGGAGGAAGGGGGACGGAGGGGTTGGTATAGGATTCGTCATTTTTATTTGCTTTAATTGCACTTTATTGTATTTATTGACGGCATTCTGTCCGGGAATCAAGCTTCCAATCTTTAAATCTAGATTTCGATTAAATTCAGGCTCTCGTTTCAATCTTCTATAGGCGTGACGTGATACATTTCATTTCCGTTCTGACAATATTTCATTTTATAAGGTAATCTTGTGGCTCTTATTCCTATTTCTATCGGTACACTTCAAGTTCCTGATCCGTTCCTTAATCCAACGTTGCCCAAATGCCAATTATGGCTTGTTTTTGGACATAAAGCAGCCGAAGTATCTAAACTTCTGGAAAAAAAAAACAAATTTGGAAATGGCTGGATTCGAACCGACGACCTTCGAGTTGCCATATCAAATTTGAGCCAAGCACTTTTACTACTTGACCAGCAAGGCACTCATCTGCTTTAATCAAATGGAAAACCTTTCTTTAAAATACTCAATAAAGAATATCTGAGCCTTTTAATTCTAATAAACATCACAAATTTACAACAAAAACATTAAATGAAGTCTAATAATGATGCAATCAACATTAAAAGCTTCAATCTACTTTAATTTGATAAATTGATTTTCAAAATTCATTTCCAAATTATTGAATAAAATAGGAATATTAAAGCTACTTAATTGGATATATTGTTGAAAATTGAACAATATTATTCTATTTATCAATTCAATAGAAAATAATCAATCAATTATTTTGTTTATAAATTGAGTTCATGCATTCTTAAAGACTTTCTTCCCTCCTTCACAAACATCACTTTGTTAATTTCTATTCAGCACAAACTAATGAACAAATAGCATGACATTCATAATTTATTCAAAAAAAAAAAATATTTATTCAAAGATTTTCCTCTTTCAAATAATATTTTTGCCGTCCCCAATGGAAATAAACTTTTAATAAGACATGAAAGGAACTGCTCCTCTCATCAAATTTGAGGATGTTATCGTTGCCAAAAAAATAGTTTTTCAATTAAGTAAAAAATGAATTTTTAAAGAAGCAAAATTCTGTTGCAATTCTTTCGATTATATAATAATGTTTTATTGATGTTGAGAAGCATCCTCACTTCCTTGTACAGCTTAATCAATCATAATTGAAAGCTTTGTTAAGCTTCAATGGGGATTACTAAAATGGAAATTGTATAGATGTGGAACATATGAAGCATAAACTATCTACACGAATAATAAACAAACTTGATATTTGTATGGGTGGAGATGCTGAAAGGAGCACAAGAAGTTATACATGAAAAATAAATGTTCAGACACACATATGTACATGAATCCAGGGTTGTCATAAGACGTTTATAGTTGCAGTCCTTCATTTTGTACTGTATGACTATCCATTCATTAATGTATGGCATTAATAAGGTATTGTAAGAATCTATGTCTTCTGGAAGGCTTCCTTAGTCGCAATGTCAACTATTGCTTGCACATTCGAACAGAAATTATTGCTAATCTGCTGAGTGTCGTTATGATTTTTCAATCAATATTTTAGCTGTAAAATCACCACCACCGTCTTCTTGCAAGCTTAAATGCTCTAATGGCAAATAGATTGGACTTCCAGGAATATTTGCCCAAAGATCCGGAACTCATAAATTAGATTTGATAAATTTTGATTATTTTGGTAAGTTATCCCTAGTTTGCGCAAGAAATGGCATCTATCAGATCATCAAAAGGGCACCAAAAACTTCCATCAGCATCAATTGTCCTCTAGCACACAGTAAAACCTTAATGACCAACAAAAGATATCACCATCAGCCTGCAATTTCCCATCTCTGCACATATCTATAAAGTTATCAAACACAAAAAGACTCTTTTTTTGCTTCTCAGTAAGAAAAAGAGAAACAAACAAACAAAATCATAAAATTCTATGGATGAGTTCGTATCTGTGTGCCTGTATGTGGGAGTCGAGAATAAATTATTTTTCACCTTTCATCCTTTCTCAGTTGTTTACCTTTCTGTAAATTTTCTTCTTTTTATTTCCTTTTATTTTCACAGAAATCCAATATTTGAATAACTTTAAGGGGTTCGTTTGCTTTACTTGTATGTTCCTGTACATGATGAATGTATATGATTTGGATTCTAGATTATTGGATTTTGTGGATATTGTGTCTGATGGATGTCAAGGTGAAATATGGAAATGAAAATAATAAATATTCTTGGAATGGAATTCTGGGAAATGTTTTGGTAACAATGTAAGGATGTATGAATGGTTCCCTGGCTTCTGTGCAGGTGTCATAGCCAAATAAAGAAATTATTCAGTTGATAGAGGATCGCTCTGTTTAGGTGCGCTACAGGCCATCATTAAAACAACAAAAAACTCCTCCCATACCCAAGTTAAATACTTTTTAATATAAACTCTCCTACATGCTTGATACATAAATTTATAAAATGTTCTTGTTATGTACATCCATATTCATGTACATCATAGATCCACATAGTCATTAATTCATCCATGCATGAAGGGAGTGAGTGACATGTGATAGATTGATGTTTGTCATGGGAATTGTTCAACATTTTCGGAAAAAAGTCTTCCTCGCTAATCCAAAATGAGCCTGACTAATTTTTTTATTTGAGTCTGGCTTTAACGACGAACATAATGCAAATGATGAGGACATCGCACAGATCTATAAATAAAGCCACAACTGAATATGTCATTCAAGTGAGATTGCTTCGTACATGAAAAGCGGAAATACGGTTTTAATGCATATTTTATGCTCAGTTCTATTGTTTGTACCGTTTTGTTTCAATTTTTTGCTCCTCGTCGTCGTCGACTTGAATCGATTTGTTATTGTTCTTCCTTGCATGACTTTCAATCTACTTTTATTATCGTTCTCCTTAACATGCTGTAATGTTCATTTTAGATTTTTTTTATGGAGAACTTGTCAAACAAGTCTGGTGTTGTGTGGAATAGCTTATTATTACATTCACATGCATTGAAAGGAGTATGCTCGATGCGAATGTGACATAAAGCATTTTTGTGAGCAGTTAAGGCTCTTACGATATCGTACTTTATCATATTTAACTCGTTTTTACATTCCTTTATTGCTTTTTCGTGCCATCTTCCTTCTTATTCTGCTTGTGTCTCCGCTTTACTTTGCAGTTTTTTAGAGCATTGCTATTTGGGGGTTTGTTTGAATGTGATGTAAATTAGAACATATCTAGAGAGTAAGGTTGGTTGCAAAGTATCCAGTAAACCAAGCAACGCACCTAATATTGAATTATGATTTTTTGACGTCACCAGTGAATGAACCCTTACTTTGTATAGAAAAAAAAATCAATAAAAATTTTTTCATGCACTTTCCAAGGAAGTGGCAATAAAATCAACAGTAGCAATTGTAAAGCAATTTTTATGTCAATTCAGGTGACTTCCTTGAATAAATATTCAACAGCTATTACCTCTCATACTCATGTTAGCATCAATATTGCATTACTTTGTCATAACAGCATTCAATGACTTGAAGCAGCAGTGTCTTAACAACTGATAGATGAATTGGGATCATGATGACTCAAAAATCCCAACAAATCCTCCAAAGAAACCTGCAGCAATCGATTTTTTGACTGCAAGTTCCTTAAAATTTTCTCATTTTCCCATAAAAGTCGATTTGCTTTATTTTTCATAACCTCAAACTATTCACCAAAACATATGCAAAGGAAATTCGTTCATGGCATGAATTAAATAGAAACAAAACAGCAGCAACGACGACAACAAGTCACTGAAAATAAAAATAGAATTCATGAATGAATGAATGGAATAAATTATCGCACATTGAGGAGCATTTTGTAGTTCCATTTCCTCAAATATTGTAAAGTTACAATGCTAACGAAAATCATGAACATAAAAAAATTCAGAAAATAACAAAAAAGGCAACAAAAAGTTGTTTCCACTTCAGTTCCATCGATAAATTTTTTTCTTATTCTTTGTATCCATTTCTGCTTATTTTATCTTGTGTGCAAACTTGTGCCAGGTTGTGTGCTGATTTCATAACTGAATATTAAATTTTTTATTCGAATTTCATTTATTTTAATTAATACACAAAATATTATGGTCAAAAAAAAGTAAAGCAATGTGTTGCTTGGGAAATTGGAAGCTTTTGTTCCTCATCCATGTTAATTACTGACTCAATTATCAAATTTTTAGCTCATGAAAATTCAATTTTGCTTCATTAAAATTTCAATTAAGAAAATGAAAATACGCAATTGATGACCTTGACGAGTGTGCTGCAATCATTTGTTGAATTTTGGGACTAACGATCAATAAGGATAGTTATTTGGCATTTTTCAAGTGACATCGAGTTTTATATTCATAAATTGATGTTCATTGTAAATCCTCCTCTTGTAGAACTGTCATAGCCATTCGTGATATTCTGTTAAACTTCATTGATGTGAAATATTCAATTTAGCTCCATTCAATTCCAATTTTTACTAAGTATGTGTATTTAATTACACAACCATGAAAATACATTTCAACCCACCTAACCTCATTTCAAAAATGTCCCGCTTTTACATTGTCGACTCCACTTAAATGATGTAAAATTTGGAATTTATATTTTATTTGCAAATTTAATTCAATGTTCTACCTCAAAACAGCCCATCGTGTACGAATAGATTTTCACTACAATGAATAACATGCATCTAAAAAATTATTTTTCTCTTTTATTTCATTTTCAAAAATTTTTGACACGTCCGTTTTGTGTGCATCATATAGCGACAGGGATGCATTCATGGCGAGGATTTACCATACTTTTTTGGTGCACCACTTGTTGGTGGTCTTTCGCATTTCACGAAAAATTTTACAAAGGCTGAAATGCTTCTGTCAGAAGTTGTAATGCTTTATTGGTCCAATTTTGTTAGAACGGGGTTCGTATGAAACATGAACAATTGTTTGAGGATTTAAAAAATTTTTAATTAAAATTTATATTTACAGAAATCCTAATGAACAGCAGGATAACCGAGACAGAGGAAAAGTGAAAAATGTTGAATGGACGCCGTATGAGAATGTCCATAAAAAGTTCCTCAATATTGGTAAGTTAATATTAATATTTATCAGCATTTTTCCAATAAATGAGATAATTCGTCTGGATGTGATGGAAATAATGAAAAGATATTGATGGTTGAGGGTCTGCTCGTAAATGACGTCTATCAAAATGCAAGATTTTTAGACTCCTTCCCTAAAAAATTTATATCAATAAATACTTTTTTTTGAACCGTCACAAAACTCCAACCCCCCCCCCTTCCTCTTAATATTAGACGTCATTTATGAATAAATCCTTAGTAATTTTACATTGTGATTGACAATGGATTAAAAATTTAAGGAACTTCTTTCGAAGTTTTTAAAAGCTATGGCTTTGGGGTTCGTAACAAAAGGACGGGTTAAAGATAACCCCACCCAGGGGCGTAGCCAGAAAAGTTTTAAGGGGGGGCCCATTTTCGAAAATTTAAAAACCGTTATTTTGTATCCTTAAAACTATATTCATTCTTCATAAGTTTAAATATTCAATTCATTATTCGTACATTAAATTTAATTTTTCGTGCTGATTTTGACATTTCTTTCATCACTTCCTCTACATTAACTGGTTCCTCTCTATAAATACTTAATAAAACAATTATCAGATTTTTGTAGGGGGGGGGGGGCCCGGGCCCCCATATGCCCCCCTCTGACCCCACCCCTCCCCAAATCCCCACTAGACGATAAAATTTCTTCAATTAAATTTGTTTTTTGAACCCCTCGACCCTTAACATTTCTATTCATTTAAAATATATCAAAACCCTCCTGCTTGCCGAAAAACATTTCGACCCCTAAGTTCAATTTATTATTGAAATAAATAATTTATTCAGCATAAATAAGCACAAAAAGTTCAACCAAAAATAAGAAGAACCAAATAAATTTCCACAATCCAAAAATTAAAGCAATCGCGGACCGAAAATTATCCCAACAAGCAAGTCGAGTGGAAAGAAATTTTTTTCAAGATATTTTTTATCTACTCGCATAATTTCAGCACTGCTCATTGTGTTAGTTTGAATACAATCCACAGTATTTTTTTTATTTTTTTGTTTTTCGCTACCTACCCCAACTAGATTGCTTCCGTTTTCACCCCTCGCTTAATAAAAAATTGAGGCAGTGGGAAATAGAGGAAGAAAGCAATTTAATTAAAGCAATTGAGCGAGGAGCCACAGAATGGATGTAATTCTTTCCAAAATAATTTCCTTATTGGAACCTTTCTCAATCTTTGAAATGTTCTTCCTTAAACTTTTTCTTTTGATGCTGCTACCACAATGAGAGTGTATTTTGATAAATCCTTAAATTGGGCGGCGATGAAAGGAATCAGGTCTATTCAGACGAAAAATTATTATGTTTCATGGATGTTTAGAGCTGATTAAGATTTGGCTTTGTTTAGGATATTAAGTTGATTTGAATTTTGAGTAACTTTGAATGTAGTTTTCATATTCTAAAGCTAAAGAATCATGAAAGTGGTTGATAAATTTGTGTCTCTTGGAAACAGTTTTTAAAAATAATTGTGATGGTGGTTGACATGAAGTTGCTAGCTAGATAAATTTGTCGGGATGTACGTCCATTAGTCTGTGCATCTAAGAGGCTGTGCGTCTTAAAGACTGTGTGTCTGCAAGGCTGTGTGTTTTTAAGGTTGTTTTACAATTAGGCTATACAGCTTTGATGCTATAAGGCTATATGGCTGTGCGTATTTGAAGCGGTCCGGCTTTAAAGCTGTGCGTCTTTGAGGCTGTGCGCTCTTAAAGTTGTGCATCTTTAAGGAAGTGAGTCTATAAGATATGCTTCTATAAGACTGGTGTTTAAGGCTGTGCGTCCCAAGGCTGTACGTCATTAAAGTTGTACGTCATTAAGGCTGTGCATCGTTAAAGCTGTGCGTCATTAAGGCTATAAATCATTATGGCTGTGCATCATTAAGGCTATGATTCTATAAGGCTTAGATTCAATCTTAGACTGCGTCTTTAAATTGTGTATCTGTAAAGCTGTGCGTCTTTAAAGCTGTACTTTAATCTGCCGTTCTGGTGAATTCGCCAGCATATTAATTTACCAAGCTGTCAGCTTATAATCAATTCAAAGAAAATTCTAGAATTCATAAAATTCAATCTTGTTTTGACAGCAAATTTATCTGAACCTCATCATGTTCTCAGAATTGTTTTCGAAATTCTTTTTGTACCTTAAACGATGCAATTGCCATCAAAACAGCTGCAAAGCAAACATTTCAATTTAGATTTATCTCGTTATACTCAATTTACTTGCGAATTTTAACATTTGCAAAATAACGAAGAAATAAATTTCATCACAAAGACTGTAAGCATCAGCAACCGACCATCACATTCTGAGAAATATTGTTCAAAAGCAGCTTTATAAACAAAAGGAAAAAAAGAAGAAGAAGAAGCAAGAAAGTTAAATTATCACGATTTTGAATGAGAACGGTAGAATGGTAAATAAAGGAAAATGACATGGAAAAAGGTCATGAAAATTGCCCCAAAATTTTTTTTAATCTCATTTTCCTTTTGCACCTTTTTCACGTGCCATTTTCATTCGATATTATTCCATTTCCAAACCCATAGCAATTATGATATATCAATTTACTCACACAAACTTTCCTCTCAATTTCCAATCTCTTTACAGACACAAAACCAAAGCTAAAAAATCATTATCGAGCCCATCGATTGTCATTCTGGCTCAATTTAATTCCTGACCTTCACAAGCCAGGTAACGATGATGTTCCTTTATCGCATCACGAGCTGGAAAATGACGACATTAGTGATCAATCGAAGGCAACCGTAAAACCTTTAATACCACAACGTGACAAAATGAATGGATCGATTCAGAATGGCACATCGTCACATTATCCTGCATCAATGATCTTTAATTTAACAGCATTACGAAATAGTAATCGTAATAATAGCAACAATCAAATAAATTTAAATGGAAATACTTTGTCGAGTGGAAAAGCGAAAAATCAAGTTCCAATACAGTCGATTGATCATGATTTATATGATGAGAATTCGACATCGAATCCGCCAACAGAGGATGGTTTTGCAGCATATAGCACGGCACTGAGTGTGACAATTGCTATCGGCTGCAGTCTGTTGATACTGAATGTATTAATATTTGCTGGCGTCTACTACCAGCGTGACAAAACGCGATTAAATGAGCCAAGGGCAATAAAGAAGCGCAATGAGAATGGACAGATGCCAAACAACATATGCGGTGATCTCGAGTCATTAACAATTCATTCCAAAAGCGATCCGACGACAATTCTAGGACATCATCATTCATTACATCAGTTACCACCACCCGAATTTGCAGACATGCCTCTGATAACGAAACCGTCAGGTCGCATTCCACCACCACCACATGCGCTACAAGTCGGTAGTAATTGTAACACGCTAAATAAGAAGAGCTGTGTGAAGAACAACATGAATCATCAGCATCAATCAACAACAAACATGGGTGGAGGTGGCGGTGTGAATTCAAACTCACAACAGAATCCGATGGACGAGCTACGTGTATGACGTTAAGTCACATTTGATGATGAAATTCAGGACATTTATTTATAGCAACGGAACCATTACCGTTACACTATACCTGCCATACTCGACAACGTAGTTGTTGTCATCATCATCAATTGTGAAAAAAATATTGTTTAGTTAAATTTATCATAAAATTTTTTGTAGTTTATCAATGTAAATTTGTGTGAATAATTTATTGATTCATGAAAAAGTGAGGAAGTATAAAAGGAGATTTAGGGCATGTTACTGAAAACAAATTTATGTAAGTATTAATAAGAATTTTAATAGATCAAAGTCATGTTTGAAGAGAGAGAAAATTTGATGAGAAAATAATTTGAAAATCTTGTAATTTGAAACAAAATGTCTCGTATACGTTTAACGTAAATCCACATTCACTTTCAAATACGTTAAATCATGTCTATTCATGCCTACTCAATTTTTTTTAAAGAGTGAATGAATGAATGGATGATAAATTAAAGAAATGTTGAAGAAATTTTTGAATTTGAATTTTAAAGAATTTTAACTTTCGAAATTAAAATTTTTGACTTTCGAAATTAAAACTTTTAACTTTCGAAATTAAAATTTTTAACTTTCGAAATTAAAATTTTTAACTTTCGAAAATGAAATTTTCAACTTTCGAAATTAAAAAATTTTACTTTCGAAATTTAAATTATGTTATCTTTATAAAATAAAAATTTTAACTTTCGAAGTTGAAATTTTTAACTTTTAAAATTGAAAAATTTAACTTTCGAAATTTAAATTATGTTTTCTTTATAAAAGAAAAATATAACTTTCGAAACTGAAATTTTTAAGTTTCGAAATTAAAATTTTTAACTTTCAAAATTTAAATTATGTTATCTTTATAAAATAAAATTTTTAACTTTCGAAATTAAAATTTTTAACTTTCGGAAATGAAATTTTCAACTTTCGAAATTAAAAACTTTTACTTTCGAAATTTAAATTATGTTTTCTTTATAAAATAAATAATAAATATAAAATAACTTTCGAAATTGAAATTTTTAACTTTCAAAATTAAAATTTTCAACTTTCATAATTGAAAATTCAACAACTCCATTTCAACATCTTTTTTGGAAGCATGAATGATGAATGAGTCATAAAAGGCAGCAAATATTTTTCTACTTAATTTTAAGTATTGAAAAAACTTTTTATTTAAATAATTGAGAACTAAATTGAATTTTTTTTCACTGCCATCCGCTATACACGAGACTCATATGAGGAGCTTAACACCCCTTATTTCTTTATTTGAAAAAAATATTTCATAAACCCAAATTCAAATTAGGTCAAACTTTATTTGACAGTAGAAGATAATAGTTATTATATAAAAATCCCTTCCGTGGTCCTTTCCTTTTCATCCGTAAATCTACTCTAATAAACTTTTTTTTTTTGGGTAATCTGAAAAATTCATAAAGAAAAATGATCTTACACAATTTGCTGATTTTCCCACACATTGATGTCACATCATGAAATATTTTGACTTTTTCCACACCTCCTGCATCCTTTGCATTCTTTGAATTCCAAGCTTCATTCACAAATTATTCACAGAGGGTGAAAATATAACGATAATGATGATATTTGAGTGACATAGGAAATATTTTATTTTCCTAAAAATCATTCATTGTACTTAAATGGACGCATTAGATCCTGTGATGTTGATGATGATAATGATTATTATGTTGTTGCCCCTGCTATGACGTTGGCCGTCAAAATATTTTGAATAGAACAATGTTGGAAAATTTATAATGAGCGGTTGACGCAGCTTGATTTATTGATTAATTTTATGGCATAAATTTGGGGTGTCCATAGACGTCACCAGGATGAAGTTCTAGGAAAAAACAGTTTCATCCTCTACATATGTGTCCATTAATGAATTTTGAGGAATCATGAAACTGCCAATTATGCAAAAACAGTTTCAAAGATTTAATACAATCAGATTTAACAGAAAATTAAAGCTCTGCATGCTTCCATCCTTAGAACAGCTCAACAAATTAAAATGGCCTTTTCATAAACTCAATCAGAACCCCATGAACTTGATCATTAGTCCTAATTTGATTTCTCTGATATCTGATTCCATATAAAGAAGAAGAACTTTTCAATTTCCTGCATAATCCCCAGCAATACTGGCGGATTTCCATGAAAATATCCTCGTGTTCATCTTACAAAGTGCGTAAATGTAATGAAAACATGCGGCTTGACAGCACCATGAGAATGAAAAAAGAAGATGAAGCAATTGGAATTATATAATGGTTCGCATTTACGTAAAACCAATTAGCTTTGAAGAAAAAGTAGAAAGTTTTCCTTTTGTTTTCATTCAAACGCGTTGCGAATAATCAAATAAACACTCAGAGGGAATAGAATCTGAACGGAATCAGCATCAGCAACAGCAGCAGTAATAACGGTAGGCGATAGGAAAAAAAACAGAGAATTAGTGATTGCACAATACGTACAGTGAATGTTGGAATGAAAAAAAAAGATGAAATTCTCACGACCTGAGTGAAATAAGAATGTAAGGAAAATGTGAGGAATAGTTGATACAGTGTTGTTGATTCTGATGATGAGCTTGGATGTAGGATAAGTCAGTTTTTAAAATAGCTTATAGAATCACTTTTAGGTACATGTTTCTTGGAAAAAGAAAGCAATTCTGAAGGTATGCCCTAGACATAAAGCATTGATGGACTAGGTTTGGATGAAACTTAGATTACACTAAGAATATACCTAGCTTCTACTTCTGGAATGTAAGTATATTATCACGGGAACCACCTTGTCCATGATTGATCTGACTAGATTGTCATTAAAATGAATGATGCGTCTTAAATTGCATTAAAAGTTAATCGAATGGTACAAGTTGGTTAATCAAATAAAAAAACTCTAGAATGGTGCTGGCTTCGATTTAAATCAACCACTATGCCAGAGTCACATCAGCTTTGTGCCAGATTTATTATTATTATTATTATTATTTATTTGTCGACGTTACCGTCAGGAAGATTATTATTTATACATGTTTTACTTTTTACATTGATTAGTGATACATTTCATATCACTATGGGTGACGGAGAATCAAGCTTCTAATCTTCAAATCTAGATTTCGATTAAATTCAGGCTCTCGTTTCAATCTTCTGTGGGCGTGACGTGATACATTTCAGGTCCGTTCTAACAATATTCCATTATAAGGTAATCTTGTAGGTATCGTTCCTATTTATCCCGCTACACTTCAAGTTCCTGATCCGTTCCTTAATCCAACGATGCCCAAAATGCCCAATTATGGCTTGATCTCGTACATTAAGCAGTCGAAGTATCTAAACTTCTGCTTATATTTCTGATTAGCTCAACACAGTCTTTAACTACCTTTAAACTACAACATGAAGCTAATCAAGTTAAAAGATTGTATATTCTTGTTGTACCTCCTCATTTTTGAGTACATATAGCTCTAAATGATGCTTTTCATCTCCAACTATTTCCATTTGTCTCAAAATTCTATTTCAACCAAGATTCTTAACTCCTTATCCTGAATCATCTAATCATCAACACTGATAGCTGCAGCACTACAAACCTTTTATGTTTAAGTAAGTAAGGCAACATAAAAGCGACTTTAATTCATCACGTAGAAGTCATGCTGTGTGCGAATGTCACGTTAATATAATTCAATTCGTCATACAAACACAGACAAGCTCAGTGACTGTATATAAATAAGGCAATAGTAAGAGGAATAAATTTTTTTGGCACAAACTTGTCGTGTGCTTTCTAAAGAATTTTTTTTCCTTTTCATTCTTGATACGGAATAATGAAGTTGATAATAAGTTATTTTCCTCCAATTCTTCATTCGTCTTCTTTTCTTTAGTTCCAAAAATATTTTTCCGCATTTCATTTGCTGTTCTCATAATCGACATTGCCATAGCGATAATGATTTACTTTCTATTTTCTTCTTCTTGGCTTAAATGGAACTAGAAAGTGGATGAAATTTGATTTTCGTCTTCATTTCCTTTCCATTTGAGGGTGAAAGATTCTTTTATTCAATTTCGATTGACTATCAATAAAACCTCCTGGAAAAAAATAATAATATCATAAATTTGCTAATGGACCTGAATTTATCTTCAACTTCTTCGTCTTCCTGAAACATTTTTTCATAATTGTGTTCATAAAGTTTCATCACTTGAGGGCTTTCTCTTCTGTCATGTTGCGTAGTAATATCAACTTTTATGCCTCATTATTTTTTTTTGTGCTTATTTAATCTCTACTTTGTGATTCCAAAGGAACCAGCAAGACTCTCAATTATATTTTTGAGTAAAAGGTGGTTGAGTTATCTTTAGATGTTGATGATGGAAAAGCCACATAATTAATTCAGATTTATGCGCTGTCAAGCAGAAAATAAATCATTTTATTTACAAAGCATCTTTGTTTTGAGCCAAACATCAATATTAGATAGAATTGGCAATATGAGTTGATTGATATTAAGTTAGATCAGTGGTGCTTAACTTTTGGACCTTAGCACAGTTGTGAAAATTTGGTGACTCGCTGTTCTTTTGAAGAAATATTTGAAGATTTAATTTAAACAGTAACGAGTCATCGAGCATAGTTTGAGCAGGACTGGCACAGATGATGGCATTAATTTAAATGGAATTGAAAGGAGGTTTATAAAGGTCATTGTGATTAATTTATGAGATTTTCCAGTAGTCAGATTGATAACGGAGATCAAAACTACTTGATTCCATTATTTCTAAAGATAAAGGACCCCATGACTAGAAATCAAACCACAAGCTTCATTTCCATTGGTTCAAAAAATCAACTAAACGTTGTTTTTTTCAACCATTCCAAACCTACAACAAAAGAAAAAATTAAATCATCATCACAATAATTTTCCCATCCCTATTATCTACATTAATAACCTTCCCATCACCAAAGACTGGATAATAGTTTTCAATCTGCAAAAAAAGAGTCAGCAACAGTATTGATCTGCCGATCGATAAACACAATATTCAATTGTAATGAGAATCGGTTCATATCCAATTGACAATGATTATTCAATATTTTTTCGGTATTAAACTCTATTAAAAGACTGTCAATAAAAGGGATAAGCTAACAGAATAAAAAAATTACTCCTACTTCATTACGGTAAAGAATGGAGCCTTCAATCCTCTCATATAATTTCATTGTATCGTACTTATTATCTTCTAATAATTTCTTCTATTTTATCCATTTTCATCCTTTTTACTTGTGCCATTTTCATTTCATGTAATACAATACAATCTCGAACATACCCATATTCCCATGTGAATGACACGATTACAAAAAGTAAAAAAAGAAGAAGAATTTAACAA